ACACACACACACACACACACACACACACACACACACACACACACACAGGTCCAGTCAAGTGTAGGAGCTATCTCCCAGGAGGACGTCTGACTCCTTCCTGCCATCACTGGCACAAAAAGGGGGAAATGACTATGCTCTTTTACTCAGCCTTATCTGCAATGTGTATGTATGGATGCGGGGGGGGGGGGGGGGGGGGATGTGAACAGAGTGCTTTTCGTGCAGCCAGGTCTGTTTGCACAGGACAGAAGACAAAATGATGGGGGGGTGTTATTGTAGCCTGCTGCTTCAGTGTGTTAATTCAGGAGCAGCTTCCGAGGAGGCCATGGATGCAGATGTCAGAGGATGAAATCTAAATGTTTTTCTTTTATCTAACACTGCAGCTTTACCAGAAGTGTCAGGTATGAAGCAGGAGATTCTGGTCTCATTAAATTTTTGGAGAAACCTGCTGTCTTGTTTGAATCCCCGAGGAGTCTCTTCTTTTCCCTCCCTTTGTTTGTTGGAATTGGAAACCAGCGCGGACCAGTTTAAAACACCTCACCAGTGACGGCACACGCCACAAAATTAAACTTTGCGATTCTAGGTGGGAAACGATCCCCATCAAATGTGCAGCGCTTTTAGCTGGAGGAGTAGCTGCACCTCGCTCTGACAGGAAGCTGATGCAGATGACTGGATATGGCATCGCCATCACAGACATCATAAACCAGATGTGACTCACAGCTGGTACGATGTGTTCATGCCTCACAGGAGATGAGATGACGCTTCCCAAAAGCTGCGCATGTTTCAGGTTTCTCAGGGAGATGAATCTGTTCATTGGACACCAATTAAACAAACAAAAAAAAAGACTAAATGAAGAGTGGAGTCTATAATCTAATAAAAACCTGACAGTTTAATCTAACAGCAACGACAGCAACATGCGAGCGACTGGTCATGAGTGCACGTTCATCCCCACAGATTGCTTTTCTTCATTACATGAAACTTGAGAACAAAATGTCTGCTTTGAGCGACCAAATAAAGGTTGGCTTTCTCGTTTTGGGCCTACAGCGAAACACGGCTTCAGTTTTCAGATCAATCACTGTGAGTCGAAGGCTCAGGGTTGTGTGTGAGAGCTCGTTCATCACACACAACCATGACAAATGGAGAAGACGGTGATGGTGGAGAAGGCACGTGTAGACGAAGCCTGATCTTTGTCAGCCGGTCAACCAAAAGAATGAAACAAAGACAGAATGACATTTTTGACGACCCCAGCAATAGATAAAACGTCTTTTTTTCACTCCAGTTGCTTCAGAATATTTTACCAAGTGACAACTTAATTAAAAGCCCAGTTATCTCTGGTGAATTGTTCAGGTAGTGTTACACCTTCTATTAGATTACGGAGGTGAAGCTGAAAGAGCAGCTAAAGATTAGCAGCACTGATCTGAGCCACGTGAGCCCAGTAATTGTTTAAACAAATTAAACTTTTATTTCTAAAGGTAAACGATAAATATGCAAGAAGTGAACCAAATTCAACTTTATTTGACAACTACGTGAAACAAACGGTACAAAAGAAACAAGTCTGAACCTATTCGTGGACTAATTTATTGTAGTAAAATATAAAGATTCATTCATTATATTTTACCTGCTTCTTCCTTTTGGGTCATGGGGTGGGGTGGGGGACACCCTGGACACGTCTCCAGCCCATCACAGGGACACATGGAGACAAATGAGACATCGTTCTCTCGCTCACACCTAGGGACAATTTAGAGCCACCATGCATGTTTTTGGTCTGTGGGAGGAAACTGGAGTACATGGAGAAAACCTGTGCATGAACAAGGGGGAACATGCAAACTCCACCCAGAATGGACTCCCTTCTGGGATTCAATCCGGCGACCTTCTCACTGAGAGGCAGCAGTTCAACCAACTGAGCCACCGTGCTGCCAAGGATCCAACTAGAACAGAAAGAACTAGATAAGGTATGTTTAGGGTCTTCGTTCTTTTGCTTGATGCCAAAAGTCACGCACTCTCATGTGTTTTTGTTAGCAAAATATGTCCTTAACCAATGGACTGATTGTAATTCATCTGATCTCATTAATGACTGGAGTTCAGCCGATTCAAAATGACAGAGTTGGAGCCCAAACGACTACAACTCTTATTTGGTGAGGACAGCTGGTTCTGTGCTGGGAACAGAGCTGGAGTCTCTTACATCTGTGGTAGAGGAAATGTCCCCCAGTAAGCTGCTGTCCATCATGGACGATGATGACCATCCTCTGCACAGCGCCATCATGAAGCAGAGGAGCTCCTTCAGTGGTAGACTGCAGTCCTAGTCCTGCTCCACGGACAGAATCAGGAAGTCTGTTCTTATTTTGAGTCATTTTTGTTGCAGCTTTCAAAGGGTTATCTAACTGTCCCTGTCCAACATGATTCCAGCTGCTAAACATCCTGACAGATCTGAGGTACTTAGTCAGAAAGGTTTTTTTATTGTCCTGTTGAAACCACCGCAGACCTGTCAGGTGAAAATAAAAACCGTTATCTTTATTACCTTTGAGGGTGATACTAATAAAACCTCTTTGTTCTAATGGAACCGTCAGTCTCATCATGGACACCAGTGCAGCTCCAAGTGCTAAATCCTGCAACTCTTTTTATAAATCTAAGTTGAAACACGGACTTATTGAAAGATGTTTTTCTAAGATGAATGAGGTGAAGATGATGTATGGCTTTCTCACTACATAATACATGTAGACACTGGTTATTTCCAGATGCAGCAAAGGAACAGCAGTAATCCAAGATACTGACAAGCCCAAGTGTTGAAATTCATCATGGTGGTGCCATTATTCCTGATTCTTCTTTAAAAAAAGAAGAACTTAATTTTTATTGGTATTGGTTTTAACTCATCGTTGTATTGCGTTTTAAACTGAGTTTTTAATTCATTATTGTGTGCTTAGCTTTGTCACTTTATTTTTATGCTTTCTTTTATCATATTTACTGATGTTCACTTTGTTTCAGCTGTGGCTGGTGTTAAAGTGCTTTATAAATAAAGTTGATGATGATGAAAAATACGTACAACTGAAATCCTTCGTCGTTTCCTGCCCTGTCCTAATGATTTGTGGATGTAGACCAAGGGGAAGGGCGTCCCATTCCTATTAGAGAAGTAAAAGCAAAGAGGCAGGACAGGAACTATTCAAATAGAACACATTTTTATTTAAAATTACTTTTACTGACAAAAAAAAATCATCTTAATTTTTAGATGTATTCAAATTTATTACATGGCAAAATAGAGAAAAACATTTTTCTTCATGAAAATATTTAGTCACAATCATTGAAAAGTTCTTATTTAAAGGCCCTGGGGGGGGGGGACACTCGGGCTTTAAACCCAGTCTTGGCAGCTACCTGTTGTGGCTTTTTAATGTACTGAACACTTTCAATGTTCGGCGCTCCTGTAGATCAGCGGTCAGTGCTGCGGTCTCGTAAAGGCTGCAGGTTCGAGCCCAGGTTGCGTCAGGAAAGACATGCAGAGTAAAAAAAAAAAAAAAAAAAGAGCTAAAATTTTCTTTAAACATTTAGGTAATTTAGTAAAGTAATAATTTAAATAAATGATTTTGCTCTATTTTCAACAGGTTTGCAATAAATTCTGGCAGTACAGTGTAAACTATAATACAGGCCTGTGTAACATGTTTATTTTATTAACATTATTTATATGTCAACCAAACATCTTATTATGAACATGAACCGGTGTCAGGTCCTGGGACGCCCCTCAGATCTCTTGCTGCTCGTCATTTCCCTTCAAAAAGTGAGATGAATGACGTTAATCAGCGCATGGTGCTGTGCGCATCGCTCAGCCGCAGCTTGTCCTGCTGTAATGAAGCGGCTGACAGTCTGAGTAATTACTCTCATCTGTCTGGGCTGCAGCAAAGACCTGAGCAGGCTTTCAGGCGAACCAAGCAGCACGTTGAATTAAACTGCCAACCCAACGTTTGTACTACACTCAACTAAAATTATGTGATTCAAACTAATGATCGAGTGAGTAAAATTCCTTTGGAGTCCAGATGTGGCACAGCTGCTCCATACAGGAAGGTTTTATTCATTCTCCAACTCTACGCGCAGCCCCCCTCACTCTGCAGCACTGTCTCTACCATCTTTGGTAAGAAAACTTCAAGGAAGTGAAAGAAGTCGTGAAAAACTCCTGCCTTGTCGTCGCTTGGCTCCAACTTGAGCAGCACCTTTGTGCTTTCTGTTCCCCCGGCCATCAGGGGCTGAACTTTGAACTCCACGGGCTCCCTAAGCTCTGGCTCCTTGTCCATGATGGACGCTGTGACCTGGGACTCCAGCTCCACGCAGCTGCCCTCAGGTTTACTGTCCGCACCTTTCAGGAGCTCCCGTCGCACTTTCCTCCTGCCGGCCCACACCATGTGCTTCTGCACACACGTCCATGGAGGGAGTTCAGGCTTCCTCCTTTTTGTCCACCTCGGCTTTTTACCCTGAGGCGACACCGGGGAGTCGCTGCCAGAAGACAGGGGCCTCTTGGCGCCAACGACCGCCGCACACGCTTCCTTCTGAGACTCGACGCTCTCGGTGCTGTCGTTTAACAATGCACTGACGGAAGCTGATGTAGTTTCCGTATCCTCAGCACCAACCGCCGCGTCCTCACTAAATACAGCTTCCGGGGGGGCGTCAACGTGGCACCTGAGAACAGCTCTGAGTACGACCTCCACAGCGGAGCAAACCTTGTGGAACCACGGCAGCCTGAAGGCGTCTCCTGCGACGCGCAGCTCGTCACGCAGCCCCTCCGGCAGCGACGTAGACTTGAAGGGGATACTGATGTTCAGCTGCTCCGTCTTGTTGTGCTGAACTTCCACGTGCGGGGTAAACAAGCGCACCAGCCCCCACGACTTGGCCTTGGTGGACTTGCGCTGGTATTGCAGGCTGCGGCAGTATTTTTCGGCCTCCTGGCACTCCTTCTGGAAACTGCGCAGAGCGCGCTCGTTCAGGTTTCCGGCCACGTTGTGGGAGAGCTCAAAGGGGTCCAGGAGATTTAACGGGCCCAGTTTGGGACCGTGCGGATGGGTCTTTGTGGCTTGTTCCTCTTGCATCATCTCATCTTCTTTAGTCTGGCTGAGGAAGTTTATGATTGGGAGTGCACGGCCCTCCCTAATGGAAATAACACTACTGGCAAAATCAAACTGTGCGTAGAAGGAGAAGAAGCCTGAGAGCAGAGAACCTGGAGGGAGGAAACACAAAGAGCAGCAGTTAGGTGTGAGAGGAGATGAAAACTTCTGAGGAGCAACACTTCCTTTCACGTACAGAGGTCCTGTGTGTTTGTGCTGGGCTGCACAGCTATAGGCTGACTGGGGAAAGTGCAGTTCCAGCCTTCAATCTCACATTCCTCCTCCTCACCTGCAGAGGCCACACAAAACGACAGACGTAAGCAAACAGAAACATAAATAAAACTCTTGGAAAATATATTTAAAAAAATTAACTACAATAGTACTTTTAGCATATGCAAAAATCTGTATGCCAAAAAAAATCCCAGTTTAATCATCAACTTCCTGTCAAAACTGAAAATGGAAATGTCATGCTTGTGCACTGAAAGCCCTCAGGATGTCTACACAAGCAAGACCGGAATTAATTTTCTCCTTATGGTGCATAAAGATGCTCACAAAGATCTAATGAATATGACCCGTTTGTTTTATTTTTTTTATTTTCTTTGTACTCCAGTTTGCACATAAACTTTAACTCCATGCGTTTCTTGGTCTCATGGTAAAGAAAAATGTCTTCAGTGAACGGAGTTTTAATTAAAAAGTGAAGAAGGTGAAGTTGCAAACAAAAGTGTTAGATTTATTTAGAGTTCTTTCACGAACACACAACCATTTGTAAAAAAGTGGCTGTGTGTGTAACAGCGGTGGGATGTGATTAGTCTTCCACGCAGACTTTTAATAACCCTCTGAGTGTGTTCTTTTTTACATGCACAAAACAGTTTGACAGCCTCAGTGCAATTAAAACCTTGTTCTCTGTATCATCATTTGGTCGCCTTCATTTTTATCTTTTGTTTGTCGGCAAAATAAATAAAATTGTTGACAGTTGCGCAGCAGCTAATTAATACAAGTGCTGGTCATAAAATTAGAATATCATGAAAAAGTTGATTTATTTCAGTAATTCCATTCAAAAAGTGAAACTTGTATATTATATGCATTCATTACATGCAGACGGATAGATTTCAAATGTTTATTTCTTTTATTGTTGATGATTATGAGTGAGGAGTTTGCATGTTCTCTCCGTGCATGCGTGGGTTTTCTCCGGGTGCTCTGGTTTCCTCCCACAGACCAAAAACATGCATGTTAGGCTGATTGGTAACTCTAAATTGCTCCTAGGTGTGAATGCGAGACTGAATGGTTGTTTGTCTCGTTTGTCTCTATGTGTCCCTGTGATGGACTGGAGACCTGTCCAGGGTGTACCCCGCCCCTCGCACAGTGATTGCTGGACATGGGCACGGGCGACCCCCGTGACCCAAAATGGAATAAGCAGGTAAAGAAAATGGATGGATTATAAGTGACAACTAATGAAAACCCCAAATTCAGTATTTCAGAAAATTAGAATATTGTGAAAAGGTTCAATATTGAAGACACCTGGTGCCACACTCTAATCTGCTAATTAACTCAAAACACTTGCAAAGACCTTTAAAAGGCCTCTCAGTCTAGTTCTGTAGGCTACACAATCATACGGAAGACCGCTGACTTGACAGTTGTCCAAAAGACGACCAGTGACACCTTGCACAAGGAGGGCAAGACACAAAAGGTCATTGCTAAATAGGCTGGCTGTTCACAGAGCTCTGTGTCCAAGAACATTAATAGAGGTGAAGGGATTGAAATGATGTGGTAGGAAAAAGTGTACAAGCAACAGAGATAACCGCACCCTGGAGAGGATTGTGAAACAAAACCCATTCCAAAATGTGGTGGAGATTCACAAAGAGTGGACTGCAGCTGGAGTCAGTGCTTCAAGAACCACCACGCACAGACGTATGCAAGACATGCATTTCAGCTGTTGTATTCCTTGTGTCAAGCCACTCTTGAACAAGAGACAGTGTCAGAAGCATCTCACCTGGGACTGCTGCCGGGTGGTCCAAAGTTATGTTCTCTGATGAAAGTAAATTTTGAATTTCCTTTGGAAATCAAGATCCCAGTGTCTGGAGGAAGAGAGGAGCGGCACAGAATCCACGTTGCTTGAGGTCCAGTGTCAATTTTCCACAGTCATTGATGGTTTGGGGTGCCATGTCATCTGCTGGTGTTGGTCCATTGTGTTTTCTGAGGTCCAAGGTCAACGCAACTGTCTACGAGGACGTTTTAGAGCAGTTCATGCTTCCAGCTGCTGATCAACTTTATGGAGATGCAGATTTAATTTTACAACAGGACTTGGCACCTGCACACAGTGCCAAAGCTACCAGTACCTGGTTTAAGGACCATGTATCCCTGTTCTTAACTGGCCAGCAAACTGGCCTGACCTTAAACCTATAGAAAATTTATGGAGTATTGTGAAGAGGAAGATGTGATACACCAGACCCAACAATTCAGAAGAGCTGAAGGTCACTATCAGAGCAACCTGAGCAGTGCCACAGACTGATCGACTCCATGCCACGCTGCAGTAATCCAGGCAAAAGGAGCAACAACTAAGTACTGATGCTGTACATGTTCATACTTTTCATGTTCATACTTTTCAGTTGACCAAAAAAAAAAAAAAAAGGTCTTAAGTAATATTCTAATTTTCTGAGATACTGAATTTGGGGTTTTCATTAGTTGTCAGTTATAATCATCAACATTAAATGAAATAAACATTTGAAATATATCAGTCTGTGTGTAATGAATGAATATAATATACAAGTTTCACTTTTTGAATGGAATTACTGAAATAAATCAACATTTTCATGATATTCTAATTTTATGACCAGCACCTTTATAAATCATATAAATGTGGTTCAAGAGTGACAGCTAAAATCATCCTCTTATGTGGAAAGTTTGGGATTCTGCTTAAAATGGGTGACTGCACGTTCACCTCCGTATAAACTGACAAAAACAAGCACTTTACAACAATCATGTAATTAAACGTGCAGCTGACGGTTTCAACTTTAAACCCCTCTAAAAGCGGTGCGCTCTGAACAGCCCAGCACTTACAGGCCATGTCTCTGAGCTGGTCCACAGTGGGGAGGACAGGCGGGTCACAGTTTTGCAGGTAGAAGATGATCAGCAGGGTCAGAGCGTAGTTGTTGAGGAGGGGGCCGGCACCACTGGGATTACCTGCAGGTCACATGGGACGACATGAACAAGCTGAGCATTTGGTTTCTACATTCACCAGATTTGGGATGTTATGATGAGATTGTGCAAACGGTACAACCCCAAATCTGAAAGTGTTGCGACACGTAAAATGTAAATACAAACAGATTGCAATGGTTTCTCAGAAACCAGTATTTTATTCACAGTGGAACATCGTAAGCAAATCAAATGTGGACATTAGAACATGGTACCAATGTTGGGGAGGAAAATAGGGTAATGCTGAACTTTATGGAGTACCACTTTACAATAAGACTCCACTTATAGATGCTAATAAATAGTTTATAGATATGTTATTAATTCCTCTATAAACACTTTATAAATCATTAATAATTGCTTATTATGCATTAAGAGTGACAGAGAGACAAAACTGACCAGTTTCTTGCCAAATAGTGAACCAAATCTGTTCACCTATATATTACATCTAGAGTTGTTAAATTAAACATTTCAGACTAAGTTACTACCTTGTAAGCGCAATAAACATTTGTAAACCTATTTATTTAGCATATACTTATACTGCGTTAAAAGTATCTACAACCGATATATCCTAAAAAAATTAGGTTTACAAATGCTTATTGTGCTTACAAGGTAGTAACTTAGTCTGAAATGTTTAATATAACTTATAAAAAAATGTTTGTGTCCCAGTCTAATTAAAGTAATCTTTATATAAACTGTAGCACGCTCTTTGGTACCGATTCATTCGTTTACTGCGGTTACAAAATCTGTTTAAAAGTTAGAAAGTTTATTTCTAAGATACAATAATTTCCTTTTATTGTTTGTTTGGATGAAAATTGGCATCACTGATCAAAGCAACCGCTTCAAGACCTCAATTTAAGCTTAAAAACAGTCTTTTCACATGTCGTCAGTCTGTGTGATGAAAGGTGCGTTGGCAGCACTGAAGGTGGAGTTCAAAGGGAAGAGGCGAGACGCGGCCTCACAATAAAACGTAATTAGTGTGCTTTAAAGCAAAGAATACCCTAATAAGATTTAATCTAATATCAGAGCCTGCACATAAAAGTAGCTTTTTTTTTTGCCAAAGCTTCTAAATGACTTTTATAAATTTATAATAAATAAAGGAAAATAGCAGTGGGTTTAGTTTGATCAGAGGACAGTGCAGTTCTACTGACATCTGTTGATGAAAGGATGAAACAGCAACATGAAAGGATGAAACGGACTAGTTTTATGAATGAACCTGTAGCCAACTTGCTTGAGAATGACTGCATCGTACCAGCTAACTGCTTCTGCTTGGCCCAGTAGCGGACGGTGTACACCAGAGGCCTCAGCCTCTCCTCCACGCCTGAACACAACTGAAGGAACCGCGTGTTCCTTACTCCCAGTCTAACAAGAAAAAGAACAAAATGAACAGTTGCTTCCTGTAGAAGTACAGAACGTCAGTCGCTAAGTTAGAAACATTTTTAAACAAAAAGAGTGTTTAAGGAATTTAAACAGGCATCAGACCTGTTGTTGAGAGTCATGTCCCCCTGCAGGTTAAGCTCTCGGTGGTGGAACTTGGCGACGGGGAGGCGAGCGGTGCTAACCACGTGGACTTTGTGCACGCTGGGGACGCAGCGTGTCAGGATGGTTGCCACAAGGTCCAGAACCTCAGCTGGAGAGGCAGTGGACAGATCGATGTCAGACAGGATGGAGTCCTCAGAGCGGCCATCATCTGACACGCCTTCACCTGCCTGAAGCAGCAAACACAGGAGAAAAGTTTCCACTTGTTGAACTCTGGAGGAGAGAAACAAACATCTGCCGCTACACATGTCAAACCTGCTCCATGCTGGACCTGGCCTGGGATTGAAACACCTTGGTGTTCTCCAGGTCCAGGAAAAGGTCCAAGTCACACGAGTGGATACCAAAAGTGTTCACAGAAGAACCAAACGGCAGAATCTGGCTGTCTGCAACCCATGGAATATCAAAAACATCAAAACTAGCACAACTGATGGATCTTTTATCATCATGTAAACACTAGTGTACATCTAAACACTTTAACAACATCACCTGGAAAGAATTCAACAAATACTTCTTGCAGGAGTTGAACCAGCAGGCTTCGGGCCTTCTTCTCATTTTCTCCAAGCTGAAACCGCTCAACTATGTACTTGATCTGGGCATCCACCTGAACAAGACCAAAGCATGACACTGTAGTCGTTTTGTGAACAAGCCGTCTCAATAACAAACTTCTTCATTAATCACAGAATACAGAAACAAAGCACAAGGAGGTGCATCTTTTAGTGTTAAATATCAAGTTATAGAAGCTCCATATACATAGTAGCATTGTTGAGCTCTGAGCTTACAGATGGCAGCTGACACAACTCTGGTGTGAGACGATCGAGAGCTTGTTGGAGGTTCTGGCGGTCGTTTTTCTTCTTGGGAATCAACTTGAACGCCTTCTTTTCCCGAGGTTTAACTCGCAGCTTCAGCCCTTTCATCTTGTGCTCCACGCAGGACAGCACTGCCTGGAGGCTCTCAGTTTCACCGAACTGCACGATGGCATAAACACCCTGTGAACGCAGACACATCAGCAGTACTAACGTCAGGGATCTTTGAGAAAAATCATTAGGATCCCCAACAAAGCAGCACAACTCATGGAATCTTATTTTAGGTGTTCTGGCATTTGCAGCTGCGGGACCTTGTCTTTATCCATGATAACATCTGTGACGGCACCAAACTGCTGGAAGTACTCGGTGACATCACTCTGAGAGATTTCAGGCTTGATGCCGCTGACGAACACACTGTGCTCCTCTTGAGTCTTTCTCGTGGCGCGCACCGTGCTCAGCGTCTGATGCTTTCGCCCCTTCACATGCTGATCCACACTCGGCTCTGTTAAGACAAAGATTTAATCTAATATTAGGCGAGAATAATTTTATATACATTTTAGATAAAACAAAGAGATTATCTCTGAAGGATGTGCTCGGTCCATCCCAAAACAACTCAGTGAACTTGATTTTTGGAGACTTTGGTCATTATTATTACTTTTTTTTTTTTAACACAGTCCTGTCTAAGTTTTCTTTGTACATTTGATTTATGATCAAGATAAAAAAAACCTGACCTGCTGGGTAAAGATAAAAAAAAAAAGGTGTTAGAAAATAGTGGAAATTACTCGTGACTCTGAATGTCACTGTGCACATTCAGCAAAACAAGCCCAGATCAACACAATCAGTCCAAATTAAACTCTACTTATTTATAAAGCCCTTTTCATGCATAAAACAACCCCGTGCTTTCCATGAACAACTACAAAATTCTTCCTCCATGTTAGACAGTCGTCACAACCGTACCAGTCTTTAGCTTTCTTGATGGCAGTGTAACAAAACACAAGCCTAAAGTGTGGACTCTTTAATCAGTAGATCACTGCTGGTGTATAATAAACTTTATATTTACAAACTTCAGAGATAATTTTGTCCACATGGTCTGACCCAAAACTAACATGTTGTGTGTCTAAAACAGGTCTCTCTTGAAAATGAGTCCCACCTGTTGATATCATCAGTGCACAACAATCAAATGTTTCAGGCCTGGATGATTGAGCTTTCAAAACTTTTTTTCTGAACCATTATAGCCAGTTTGTCTTCAGGCTGTTTCTGTGAGTAGCAAGTTGCTCATCAGGCCTAAAACATTTGATTGTTATGCACTGATGATTGATTGTTTTGGATGGATGGTCCCTTTCTGTATGTGTAAAGCCAGTTTGTGGGACTTCCACAGCAGGCTGACTTGAAACACATCAATGAGGTGCTATTTATAAGACAGACCTTGTTGGCAGGCCTCAGACTGATGAAGTCTTTTGGATGAAAGACGAAACGCTTCTTCTAAAAAGAAACCGTCCAGATGACGTGATTTAACTTTTTTGGTTATCGCCGATGAGTTTTTGGGATGGGAGGCATCTTAGTTGTTTTTTTTTTTTCATTCAACCTTTATTTATACATGAAAGTCTCATTGAGTCACCAGGACTCGAGTTTCAAGAGAGACCTGTTTTAGGCAAAACCACAGATAAAGTACACACAACAATAACATGCTAATAAAGTAAAAAAGTAGTGTTATAAAACAAAATCAAATCAAGGTGCCATATAAAACGGTGAAATGTTTATAAAATAAATTCAGTCTGCACTGAGGGGACACTGCAGGTGGCCCGAGAGCGCACGCTGTAGCTGCACTGACGACGTGACATGTGGGAGGAGAGATAAGGCAGAAGACCAAGGAGTGATTTAAAGATGAAAATCTACCGGTGTAAGAGCCTGCATGAAGTTAACCAGTTAACCAGTGAATACAGGGTGCAGTGATGGGTACGGTAGTTACAGCCAGTTATGAGTCTTAGTGCACCGTGATAGACAACATCCAACATCTGTAAGGTACTTGCAGGTGTATTCAAGTACATAATGTCACCATAGTCGATGGGCGGTAGGAAAGTAGCAGTTACAAGTTGTTTCTTGGCGTTCAGAGTTAAGCAAGATTTATTTCTGAAAGAGAAACCCAGTTTTAATTTGTTTCTTTATCAAGTTTTTGACATTCAAAAGAGAGAGGTGCACCGACCAAGATCGCCAAGTATTCCCGAAGGACGAAATGTGTCAGCAACAAAATAAACCATCCAGATGACCTGACTGAACATTGCTGGATTTATACCTGGATTATTGAGCATGGACTTTGGTTTTTTGAACCACTATGGCACAGTCTGCCTTAGAGGGGTTGACGGGGGAGGGGATGGGCCCCGGAGGCCATCTTATCACCAGCAAACTGGTTTTAACCACACTGGGAGTGAGCTGAGCTGTTGTGGGATTCAGTTTGGTTTGGTGGCTCCTGAAACTGACGAAGTCTTTCAGATGAAGGACGAAACGTCTCAGCAACAAAACAAGCCGTCCAGATGTCCTGACTGGACAGTGTTGGATTTATACCTGGATTAAAGAGCATGAACTTTGGTGATGGACTTGTAATTTTAGGATTTACCAGACTTTTTATCGATCACATTTTACTCCAGTCTTTAATTATACCTTTAGACCAGGTTTATACATGGTCATTCTTCAGTTTTAGTGATGTTGCCGTTTGTTTCCTTCTGTTACCATCCTGCAGCAATGAACTTTACTTTTGTTTTAATATTGAATACAAATTAAAAACTAACGCGATTTTTCAATAATGCAAAACTATTTTTCCATTTTGTCTTGTAAGAGCCAATAAGCTTGAGTAATTTTCAAGTCTGTGCAGTCTGCTGACTTCCTTCTTAAGCTACTTTTAATTAGCTTTTTTTATTACTGAATCATGTTGAACTGTTGGAATGACTTGGATGAAAAAGTCCCGTTTGCTTTTCTGCAGATTTAACTGCAGCTCAACTGTCCACTGTAAAAGTTGGTGAGATATTGAGAAAATATTTCACGTGCGAGGACAAAAACACGTTTTTCCACATCCAGCGGAACTTCGCGCGCGCCAGTTAGCTAACATTACTTACTGTTCGGTAAGTTGGTGTTACACAACGAACAGAAAAACCCTCTCGACGTCATTTGTATGTCGCTGTCTGACGACATGGTGGCAATAAACCGAATATTCTGAGTAATATAAATCACAATACAATCCTCAACAGTTCGACTTCTATCCTCAGTGCCTCTTAAATTTCCCTCCGACGCAGTCTTCGTTTGTGTTCAGTCCGTCTCCAAAATCTGTCCGGGTTCTTCTTTCTCACAACGTTTCGGTTCCACCAGTGTCAAAGAGCACAGTATTACTGTTCAAGTAAATTATTTTTATGCACTGTTTACTACATTTCTTAATATAGATTAATTTAACAGTCTTATTTGTTGGTTTACCAATAATAATATAACGATGTAAAAATTTGTTTTGCTTTAACCAGGCGTCTGACCAAATTAGTGCTTCAGATTTAAGTATTTGTGGTCAATGTTGCATTCCCCCCCCCCAAAAAAAACATTTTCAAAAAGGTAGAAGATGGAAAATAATTTTTTTTTTGATTTGCTGTTTTAGCAAAACAATTCCGATGCATTTCTAATCTACCCAACCCGTACTTTACGAAGCATGGATTCAAGATCTTGCCTCAATTTGAGTTGTGAATTAACTCACAGTAACTTGAAAGGTAAAAAAAACCCCATGTATTTAATGTTTAAATCCACAAGCCTCTACTCATGAATATACCTAGAAAAAAGTAAATAAATGGTACAAATATTTTAAGTAACGTTAAAAAAAATTTAATCTTTTTTTTTTTCACCCAGCAATACAATAATTTGAAGAATCAGTACAGAACAGCATGCAAATTGTAAAACGAACAAACAATGAAAGAATAAATGATTAAAACAAGAATCCCTGCTGTAAAAATAATGTTTGATCAATAAAAACTACCAGAACAATTGAAAAATAAATGATTAAAATAAGAATTCCTGTTGTAAAAAAACAATGTCTTATATTTGATCAATAAAACTACCCACTACGATGTATTAAAGACAACAAAGTAATTATGATTATAAAAATATATATAGACATGAATTATTTCCTTGCTGATCTTCCTCGTCTGGTTTGAGGTTGTGGTTCAGCATCTTTCTCCTCACGTGCACATCCTGCTGTCACATCAGCAACCTTAACTCCTCGTCTACCTCTCTTGACAGGTTGAGCTTTAACATCTGAGAGATCCTCTTCAGGTTTCACAACTTTTGAGACGCTATCGCTTTTAGCATCAGCCAGTTTGGGCTTTCTGCCTCGACCAGCCTTTACTGGTGTTGCTTTAGGAATTTCAAAGACTTGCAGGTCTGAATCAAACTGGACAGATTTTTTGAGCTTTGACTCTTCAGAGGCAGCCTCGCTTAAGTCTTCGGAGGGATTTGCAGGATCATCGGTCACTGGGGCCTCCTTTGCTCTTGTGGGCTTTGCTGAGGCCTGTTTCCCCCTTTTTGCTGGTTTGACTGGTGCTGGAGCAGGTGCCTGTACGGCCGATTCTCCATTGGTTTCATGAGTAGCTGCACCTCGACGCGCCCTCTTTGCAGGAATGTCTTCTGGAATCTCATCCTTTCTTCCCTTTGCTCTGGTAGCTTTAATCATTTGGGGAGATGCACTGATGTTCTTCTGCTCTTCAGGCTCAAGATTTTCTACAAAGGCAACTTTCTGAGCGACTCGTTTTCCTCCTCTGCCTCTTTTTGGTGTATCTGTGGAGACAGCAGGGACCTCTACGGCCTCTTCAGCCTTGGTGTCTGGTTTTGCCTTCCGCCCTCCTCTCCTGGGCTTTGCTGCAACTACAGCCTGTTCAGGCATCACCACTGGTTCAGCTGGGAGAATGTCTGCCTCCTCTGGAACAACCACCTGACTTGGTTGATCCTCTTCTTTGTGGTCTACAGGTTTTCCCGTCCTCCGTGACTTCTTAACGGGCTCCGGGCAGTTAGATGTTTTCTGTGAAGTCGTTCTGACACCACTGTCCGTCTGTTCTTCCTCTTTTTGTTGGGCACTTCTTCCCCTCTTGGCACGTACTGGAGGTTGGAACTGCTGCTCGACATCTTCAGTGACAACTGTGTTTTCGACCAACTCATTTTGTTCCTCACATTTCCTCTTTCTTCCTCTCGTAGGTTTTCCAGCAGCGGCAGGAACTGGCTGTGGAGGCTGACCAGTCACGTCATCCTTGCTCACAGCTTCAGCATCTTCCAGAGCAACAGGTGCCAGTTTGGTTTTTCTCCCTCTGACCAGCTTCAGTGTCACTTGGGACGTTGAGGGTCCTGGATCTTTTGTCTCCTGAGTGGTGTGTAGAGAGGTCTGGACACTCGTAGCGTCAGGGGAAACCTCAGGGACCACTTGAGCTTTAACTGGCTGATTAGAGGCACTCTTTTGTGACTTTGCGTTTCCAGTTCTTGTGACTTGTTGAACAGCAGGGGGTGCTGCGACGTCTCTTTGCTTCCCCCTTCTTCCTCTGACCAGAGCAGAAACAAGCTCGTCTGGACATGTCGCCTCCTGCTTATCCTGGGTTTCTTTAGGTTCTGCTAGTTTCGCTCTTCGGCCTCGGACAGGCTTCTTCTGAGCAGGAGCTGCACTCTTTTCTGTGACTTCCTCAACATCAGGGGCTTGGACGACAGCTTCCATCGCACCAGGCAACACTTCTGGATGCTCACTGTGGGCGTCATTTGCATCTGCTTTGAAAAAAAAAGAAAAAAAAAAAACACAGTAAGAAAAAGGTACGCTTGCAGAGAATGTGCCAGTACATTGTACTGATATAAATTTTCAAATTACTATCAGCCAGTTCCTTTTCAAATTGGTACTTAAGTCTAAACAAACCATCCCCTACCTTTTGGTACTTCTGCTTGGGAGACATCTTGAGTTTGCGCACACGCTTTGTTTTGCAGTCGCTTGTTTTTCATCCCTCGTTTGGGTTTCAGCTCAGCTTTTTCCACCTGTGCATCACCGTCTTCCTCTTTATGTTGAAACCCAGTCGATGGCCTCTGCTCACCCTCAGGATCTGGAGTAACTTTCTCTTCAGTAACTTCCTGAACCGTTTCAGATGAATCCTCTGGGGGTTTTGTGGCATATCGTCCTCTTCTGGGCCTCGGAGCAGATTTTGAAGGCTGAGGGGTGCTCTCCTTCTCTGTGGGGTCGATGTCAGTCGCCTCTGCGTTTCTGCCTCTTGTCGTGCGACAAACGATGGGCGGTGCAGCAACTTCAGCTTTTTTGCCTCTTCTTCCTCTGGCTGGAGCAGAAATAACAGGATCTTCTGAAGGTTCTGGCACTTTCACTTTGTCTTCAGTTATTTTTAATTTGACCGTCTTCCCCTTTCTGCCTCTTACAGGTTTCTCCTCAGTGGAAGGATCCATCTCTTTGACTTTGTAAGGTGATGTCTCCTCTTTAGGTTGTTGCTGTGGTGCCTCTGCAGCCTCCTGAGGGAGAGTTTTCATTATTACTTTGTTTGTCTCCACTTCAGTTGGTGGCTCCTGCAGGAGTTCTTGAAGTCCTTCAAAATCTTCCACTGGAGCGACGCCCCTCAGCCTTGGTGACCTCATGAGTCTATTGATCCCAAAGTTGTCTTCGACAGGTTTACCCTTCTCTTTAGGCGTTCTCGTGTCTTCAACGGGAGAATTCTTGTGTTTGGGTGTTTTCAGGACTCTCTCGACGTCAGTAAGACACACCACCGGGGAACTCTTGATGTTTGGAGTTTTCACATTCGTCATTTCAAACTGGTGATCAGATTTTTGCACTTGTACTGGTGTCTCCAGAAGTTCCTTAATGCCATCAAAGCTCACCTCATCGACCTCTCTGGTTTTTGGAGTCTTCAAAAGTTTCCCTCGAAGGTCTTCAACGAGTTCAGCCTTCTGTTTTGGGGTTCTGAAAATTCGTTTGACTCCAGTCAGACACTCTCGCTCTGCAGGTTTCTGTTTGGGTGTAATCAACAGTCTTCCTCTGATGTCCTCCAAAGGTTCAGCCTTCTGTCTTGGAGTCTTCATGATCCTCTTGACTCCAGTGAGACAGTCGATTTGTTCGGGCTTTTCTTTTGGTGTTTTCATGATCCTCTTGACTTCTGGGAGCAACTCTGCTAATTCAGGTTTCTGTACGGGAGTTGTTGCCGACATCTTCAAATCTGCGTCCTGCTCTCCACCAGACTTGGAATGAACTTCCAAGGCAGGTGTGCCGCCGGTGAAGCTGGATTCTTGCTCTTCATTAAGGAGGCGTTGGACTGCCTCACTGTTGTATCTTCGACTCTTAACGGTAGAAGCCACATTCAGAGGGGACACGATCATCTCACCTGGAAACATGTGCTTGTTTAATGTACGCTTGTTTTGTCAGGCTCCAGCTTAAGATCTGAGCATATTCTCACTGAAGCCAACACGAAGGACACTTACCTGGCTCCTCTGGCGTGTTTAGCACGGTTTGTTCGATCACAGACCGAGACTTTCGGGCACTGCTCTCAGTGATCGAAGATCTTCTCTTCCTGTTGTTTGCAGGAGTTTTAAACATTTCAGAAATGCCTGAAAAAAGAAAAAGCACAACATAAGTAGCTGCAAATCCAAAGCCTAAATGCAACAGACCTTATGCCACTAGGCCTGTCATGATAACAAATTTTACTGGGCGATTAATGATCACGATAAACGATAATATTGTTTGAAATTTGACAATAATTAGTAATTATTGTCAAATTTAAGAAGAAATAATGGTTAATTTGTTTTGAGTGTAGTATCTTTTTGACCACTGTACTGGATGGCAGTATAAAACAGTTTGAACCGAAGGATGGATAGTGAGGTAGCGAGCAGCGCGTCAATGGGAGGGAGGCCCCTTGACGTGACATGAACTGTCTCTCTTTCCTTTTATTCGGTTCTCAAAATGGCGGACGCTCGGTGTGGTTTGAGCTTTTTAGCATACCGTTTTTTACACAAAGCTTTAAATTTAAAAATCAGTAAACAAGTTCTCCGCTTCTTTTTGCAGAGAAAAACAACTTTTTACACGAAGGCACGAGTTTCAACTGTGAATATTGGAGCTTCGACAAGACGGAGGTTTTTTCCTGAGGGCGGCCTGTTAGCTTAGCTCGTAGCTTAGCTGCTTTTAACGATCCAAAAGCACGATTTTGGACGGTTAAAACAGATTTTAAAGAGAAATGGGTCAGTGAAGAACACCGGAGTTGAGCTTTTTGTCATCCAGTGTCTTCAGTAGAAAGAGAGAGATACAAAAAATAAAGCCGATAAATGAAAACGAGGTTGATAACTTTCATTCATCATGTGATTAACTGATTTATTGTTTATCGTGACAGACCTACATGCCACCATTTATTGTAATGAAGGAGTTGTTACCAGACAAGTTCTCGTCCATCTTCATGTCTTTTTTGGAGAGTGCAGTATTGGTGACCACTCTTGGTGCTGCTCCAGTCGGATGAGCTACTGCTCTTTTGTGAGCTCTGCCCACAAAGATGGTGGCAGGTGAATCGGCGTGTCCAGTGCTTGCATGGCTCTTGAGCGTCCTGGCAGGTGTCTGACACGAAAACAATAATGTCTTCTAAGATGTAATTCTGCTTTTACAAGAGTTTAGCTATAAAAACAGAGGTTATTGTGTGAAAGATCAAGTAAAGTTTATTCAACCAACCTGCAGTTTAGGCACCTTCTTCTTTGGTTTTTGTGTGACCTTTGTTTTAGTTGGAGCAACAACTTGGGTCTTTGCTTGTCCAAATTTAACAATATCTGCCCAGGAATTAATGACTGGAAGGTAAAAAAAAAAAAATAGGGAAAATAAATCACTTAGAATAAAGAACCAATATTTCTAGATCAGTAAATAAAATCTTAAGCATTGAACACACCTTTCATTGATGCTCGAGAAACGCCACTCTTTCTCTGCAGAACGTGAGCCGCACTCTTGGAAACACCCGGAGTTCTTCGGGAAGTGCGCTTCATGCTTCTCCTCTTCAGCTGTATTTTCGGAGTAACGGTGCTTAAAGGCTCTTGTTGAGTGACGGCATCAGACTCTGAGGTCGGTGACGGGGTGTTGATTCGAGACACAGAGAAGCGTCCCTGTACGTTTGGGGTACTGACTCCAGAATCTAAAGATGCTTTAACTGGTGTCACACCAGTAAGGGAAACAAGACTAGACTCTCTCAGTGAAGATCTTCTTTTGTCAGTCGGGGTTGTGTTGTAAGCTTTCTGACTTGGGGAGCCACATTTGCGCTTAATTTTAGACTCTGTTGCTGGAGAAGAACTCCTGGATGAGGTTTTTGAAGGAGTCGCAGCCTTTGGAGAAGTGGACCTGGACTTTGCCAGCGCAGGAGAAGAA